AGAGCCTAGAGCCTAGAGCCTAGAGCCTAGAGCCTAGAGCCTAGAGCCTAGAGAGCCTAGAGCCTAGAGCCTAGAGCCTAGAGCCTAGAGCCTAGAGCCTAGAGCCTAGAGCCTAGAGCCTAGAGCCTAGAGCTTATGGTTGAGGATTTAGGGTTCAGGGTTTGGTGTTGAGCGTCCGGGCTTAGGTGTCATTCTACACGTACCAACTCTTTTGGTGACACCTAGGGGATTTCACCGTATCCAATAACTTGATTGTTCTTTCAGAAGACACAGAAGAAGCAAAGCTGCCTCTAATGCTTTACTTAAACCTCCAGCAGCAGTAAGAAGCAAATAAGCACCCTGGCTCCAATGTAGTTCCTTTTTGGGTTAGTTATAGAAGATTCTAGTATACTACCCCAAAAAGGTACTACATAGGAGCCTTTGGGTAAGTTCAGTGTCGATGTAGGCGCTGCATTTCCCACGGTCAGATTTTGCAGTTGCAGAACCATGACCTGCTGACTCCTACAAGCCGAGCCCGCTTCATAACCAAAACCCTAAACCCTAAACCCTAAACCCTAAACCCGAAACCCGAAACCCGAAACCCTAAACCCTAAACCCTAGTCTACCCTAAGCCCTGCAGGAGAAGGAAAGCGCTCCTGAAACGACCAACAGCGAGGAGGCTGCTGCGAGTTATGGGTTTTCAGGAATTGCCTTTTGCTTTTTGTGGGGCCTTCTCTGTTTTTTTGTAAACCATGTGGGGGTTTACGAAAATAGGGGACCACGAGAATATCGACCCCAAGGAGTAGGATTCCCTTATAACAAGGACTTCAATAAGGCACCCCTGACGTGGTAAACTCCCATATAACCGTAAAACTTTCAACGGTTTAGGGAAGAAGGTGGGATGCTGAGGGTTTGGGCTTCGGGATTTGGGCCGTAGAGCTGAAGCAGCATGTCCGGTTCTAGGAATGACGGAAACAGCCCAAACCCGAAACCCCATGTGATCCCTTAAATGGCAAGATGGGGGGGGGGGGGGGTAATATAAGGTACCGAATGAATTTCCTCAGTCACAACTAAGAACATAAATGGCAAGAGGGGGGGGGGGGGGGGGTGATATAAGGTACCGAATGAATTTCCTCATTCACCACGAAGAACAGAGATGCGCAGGGCCCCTTCGACTCAACCCCTAAGCCCTCAACCCCGAAGCCACAAACCCTACACCCCCAAACCCCCAAACCTAAATTTGAAACCTAAACAAGCAAACCGAAAACCCTAGACCCCAAACCCGATGCAGCATTGAGGCTTCTGGGCTTTTGTCAATGATTCAGCTAGGGGTTTAGGGATGAGGGTTTCGGCTTTCGGGTTGGGGGGTCGAATAGTTTTGGGCAGAAGGGTTGAAGAGTGGGGAGTACGGCCTAAACCAAGGGTTTCAAGGTCACAGTGTATCCCTTCGCGCGACGTCCTCCTGATGTTAAACTCTAAACCTTAAACCCTAAACCCTGAGCAATGCAGGAAGCATCATCCGATCTGGACGGATGGGTCGAGGCAAGGGAATGTCAGAGGTTCGGAGTTTTGAGCTCCTGGGCTGTGCGTTGGGATAAACTCAGGTCAGGCGCAGGGCTTCGTTCAGGGTTCAGGGTTCAGGGTTTAGGGTTCAGGGTTTAGGATTTAGGGTTTAGGGTTTCAGAGGGTGTAGGAGGTTTACGATGTTCTATTTTTCTTTTTCGGCGGTTCAGGAAGTTCAGGACCTAGGTCTGAGGACCCAGGGTGCCATTCCATCAATCCCTCCTCCCTCATTACCTCCTCCGCGCGCTGATCATACATGTACGGGCCCCCTAGAGTTACAAATAGGGCTATAAGGGTCCTAAACTGACTTATAAGTCTTACTTTGTAGGTTCTACCTCCCTTCAGGTTGGCCCTCACTTGTATCTTGATATCTTCATTGATACTGTTTAGGGTTTGGGGCTTGGGGTTTAGGGTTTAGACAAGGTTTGGAGGCCTCCAAATGTTGTAGCAGGGCCTTCAGAGGCCAACAACAGAGCACTGGCCCTCGGCTTTCCCACAATGCCCCTCAGCACCAACAGGGTTTAGGGTTTAGGGTTTAGGGTTTGGGAGGGTGAAAAACCGTCTGTTTGGCGGCAGCAGGCACACCTGAGTGACTGAGGGGGTGCTCTGAGAGGCAGAATGGCGTCTTTCAAACTCGGGCCACTGTGCACCCTCTGTCGTCTCCTTTTTGTGCCCACTGCATTTGACTCCGTGTTTTTTGTTGTCGGTCAGTTTTTTCCCCCGGGTCGGGGGGGGGGGGGTGAATCTTGAACTCCAAACTGCTTCCCAAGGCCTAAACCCAACCTTGCAACCCTAAACGCAGGCCCCCGCACCCTGAACCTAACTCCCGCAACTGCAGGCCCAGACGGCAAAGTCATCTCGTCTCATGCAGCTCTTTGAAAAGGCGCCGGGGCATCCCAAACCTTAAACCCGTGTTTAGGGTTTAGGGTTTAGGGTTTAGGGTTTAGGGTTTTCGGTTTGCAGGTTTAGGCTTTTCCAAACATGATTGGGAAATGCTGTCGGGTAGTTTATATTGTGCTCACATAGAAGGAGTTGAATGGGGATAAGCTTGTAAACCTTATAGACTGCCCACAACGGCTCCTATGTAGTACTTTTTTGGGGTAGCATATTTGAATCCCCTATAACTAACCCAAAAAGGAACTACATTGGAGCCCCTGGGTAAAGACTAAAGCCCGAAAGCACCTCAAGGAGCATCGGCGTATGGCTGCGACAGCCGACGTCTTGGCAGACCGACGCCAGATCATCGAACGCGAGGTGGCTTAGGGGCTCAGGGTTTTCGGGTTTAGGGTTTAGGGTTTAGGGCTTAGGGTTTAGGGTGAAGCTGCTACTCTGTTCTTTACGTGAAGCCCTGCGGTCGGAAGTTTGGAGTCGTGGCTAGTGCAACGAAGAGCTCACTGGAGGGAATAGGTATGTATTGTAATAGTTTCCATTCTGGCTAAGTAGGTAAATGTTTCAGTAGGGTATGCTTGCGCATTGATCAAAATCAAGCCTTGCGCGTTAGAGAATGACCCTTCAAAACAAGATAGTAGTTGCACTGGATCAGATATACAGCAGCGGCAACCCCACGTACATGCAATGTGTCTCTGACCGCCAGAAACGGTGCTCAGAGCAATGAGAGGCTTTCGACGTTGGTTGGGGCTTGGCTCCAAAAAACTTGAAAAACGCAAACAACCTCGCACCCGTTCTACCCAAAGGCTCCAATGTAGTTCCTTTTTGAGTTAGTTATAGGGGATTCGAATATACTACCCCAAAAAGGTACTACATAGGAGCCTTTGGGTAGGTTGTTTGTCCGGTACACGAGATTTTGTTGTTGACATAGGGGCTTGGGATGGCCTCATTGGTGACCATTTTCCAGCAGGTCGAAAAAACCACCCCAACCTAGCCAAGGAAGCAAGCAAGGAACAGCAGCACTGAGCTGATTCACCGCCTCCAGATTCCTAATCCTCTCTCGCGCCGTCAATTCCAAACTCTAAGCCCTAAACCCTATAAACCCTAAGCCCTAAACCCTAAACCCTAAACCCTCAACTCTATCCTAACCCCTAAACCCTAAACCCTAAACCCTAAACCCTAAACCATACTCCAATCATCTTTCCACGGCCGCAGTCCCGGTGCATTGACGCTCTGGAAGCTGAGCAGCATGAGCACCAACAAGGTGGGCACCAGTGGGGTGATGGTCACTAGATGTGGGTTTAGGGTTTAGGGTTTAGGGTTTAGGGTTTAGGGTTTAGGCTTTAGGCTTTAGGGTTTAGGGTTTAGTCTGTGGGCACCTGCGAGAGTTCAGGTTTTTCGGGCGCCTTTAGATTTGGGCTTGAGGTTGTTGGGGTTGGGAGCTACTTACTGTTGGTTAGTAGGGATTGAGAGAATGACGTACCCTATATCCCCCTATATATACCCTTTAAGGGAGAATCTAGGGTACCTCATTCTCTCACTCCCTACTAACCAACAGCAAGGTTAGGTTTTTGCAGGATCCTTTAGAGGCGAGCACAGCCTACCTAATATCCACCTTGGGATATTCTCCCCTTATACTAACAGTCCTTAATAGGGACTCTAATCGGGGGTACTAGAATCCCTATTGAGGACTGCTAGTACAAGGGGGAAAATCCAAATATAGGCCTTCAAAAGGGTTCTGCATGGGAATATGTCTTCCCCAGTTCCCTACTCGGAGCTGGCACCCCAAGCCCTAAGCTCATCGGGACCCTACCTGCCTAACTACCTAACCCTAGCCCTAAACCCTAAACCCCAAACCACAAACCCCAAACTCTAATCCCTAAACCCCAAACCCCAAACTCCAAACCCCAAACCCCAAACCCCAAACCCTAAACCTGAACTAGCTACCTCAAGAACTCGTATGTTTGGGGCTCACATGCGCCTCCAGGATGCATTGAGGGCAGGCTTGAGAAGGCTTTGTCCGCCTGACTTTGGTCTGGGTTTGAGGGTTTTGTTTGAGTTTTTAGGGTTTTGGGCCTTGAGTTGGAAGAGGGAGCCTAGCCTCTAGAAAAGCCCGGATTCAAGTTTGAAATGTAAGGGTTTAGGGTTTGGGGTTTTGGGGGGGTTCGGGCTTGTACAAGCACACTGCCTTTCTTGCTGCTTTGAAAATGCATCGTGTGTGCCCAAGACCAGTAGAAGCAGATGCCAGAATGCAACCTGCAGCGACTCATGGGCAACCCCATCCCAACATCTCCAATCAAGCTGGGGTTTGGGTTTAGGGTTGAGGGTTTAGAGTTTAGGGTTTAGGGGGTACTGCCAAACAACTCAGGGCCAAAAATAGGTACTACAGGTCGAACTATGTAGATTATCAAAGAGTGTTGAACTGGCCACAATTGCTTATTATTCTGATGTGTCTCTCGTCGCTCTAGTGGCTAGGAGCGTCATACATCCGACCCGTACCGCAACAACATTAGCATTGGTGGTATCACACTCTTCTTGCCTCTCGTCCGTTCTTGTGGGCCGCATTTGCCATGAGCAGCATCACACCTGTGGACGGCAATGAAGCGGACTTCATGGACTACCACATTGAAATCGCCAACTATGTGTCTGGCCCCCAAATTCAGCAGTCCAACATCTTGATACGCACCCAAGACGGCATTGTTGCAAAAGGTGTTGAGGACATCTACAAGGAGCTAAAAGAGAAGGGGGTGAAGATCGGGGGACCGGAGGATATCGGCGGATATCGCTATCCCTTTCGCTTTGCTACGCCCGCACAGGCCATGAATGCCATGACACTCTACTATGGCTACGAAAGCTTCACGGGCTCGGATACCACCTGGCCATCAGAGAGGTATTGGAGTTGCTCAACAAACGGGAAAGTACTTTCAGGAACTTCCCAAACAAGAATCCTTAAAAGTTCCTCAAATCTCTTCAGTCTGCAAGGGCCTTGAGAAAGCTGACGCTCGAAGTAGTGCCTAAGCCCAAACCCTAAACCCTAAACCCCAAACCCTAAACCCCAAACCCTAAACCCCACACCCTAAACCCTAAACCCCCTAAACCCTACATTCGGAAACCCCCCCCCCCCCCCATAAAGGTATAAGTCTTCATTCAAGCTGCGCCTCCGAGTTCCGCGGGAACTACTGAAGGCACATCCTGAGGTGATCTGAGAGCCGGGAGCATTGCTGGGGGGGGGGGGGGGGATTGTAGGGCCCAATGGGGTTTAGGGTTTAGGGTTTAGGGGTTAGGGTTTAGGGTTTATAGGGTTTAGGGTTTATAGGGTTTATAGGATTTATAGGGTTTATAGGGTTTAGGGTTGATGAGTAATGCAGTTAAATAGGGCTTTGGATCTGGGCCTGAAAGCCTTGTCTCTTGCGGGTTTCGCGGATGCTGAGATCTTGTCCTCGAGTTAAAGACTGACCCTAGCAATGCAAGTCCAAATAATGGCTACATCACGCCCCGAAACATGTAGATAGTACTTACCCAAAGGCTCCAATGTAGTTCCTTTTTGGGTTAGTTATAGGGGATTCTAATATACTACCCCAAAAAGGTGCCACAGAGGAGCCTTTGGGTAAGCCCTAAACCCTAAACCCTAAACCCTAAACCCTAAACCCTAAACCCTAGACGCTGAAAAGCCAAAGCCAAGTCCGAAGCTCCCCTAACCCCTCCTCCATCACTCCTTGATCTGAGTCTGTGGACCCCCAGCTAACTTCTGGAAGCTTCCACTTCCGTATGGTGATGTCCTTAAATCGGGGGACCCCCCTAAACCCTAAACCCTAAACCCTAAACCCTAAACCCTAAACCCTAAACCCTAAACCCTAAACCCTAAACCCTAAACCCTAAACCCTAAAGTCCTTGTTCTAGGAGCCCCCCCCCCCCCCTCCCCCCAAGGAAAGGTACCCCAAGTTTTGGTCAAACCCTATATGTCTCATGCTACAAGATGCATGCTTTCTGCGCTTATCCCTAAACCGTAAACCCTAAACCCTAAACCCTAAACCCTAAACCCTAAACCCTAAACCCTAAACCCTAAACCCTAAACCCTAAACCCTAAACCCTAAACCCTAAACCCTAAACCCTAAACCCTAAACCCTACCCCCTAAACCCTAAACCCTAAACCCTAAGTTCAGGGATCATGGTGCTCTGCGGCCCAGCATCGGCGTGGACAGGAGGCAGAGGAACTCCATGCGCGAAGTGCAAGAAAAGTGACCGAGCCTTTCGATGTCGCAGTTCGTCATGCGAGGGTTCCTTTAGGGTTTAGGGTTTAGGGTTAGGGGTCCCTGCAATAAGAATTATCGATATTGGGGAGGGGCGTCCCCTATTTTGTGAAATCAACGCTCTTTACGGTAACGGCAGCCGGAAGCTGCGTCGCCCCATAAACTACAAGCCCTAACATGTTAAGCCCTTCCAGAACAGGGGCTCTTCTACCCTAAAGTTCCCTTAGCTGTACACCTTAAACTCTAAACCCCAGACTCCCGAAGCCGTCTACCCTAAACCGTAAGCCCTACACCAAGCTCTTGTATCCCCCAAAACCCTAATCCAATTGTTCAGGCCCCTATATCAAGCCCTAAACCCTACCCCCTAAACCCTCAACCCTCAACCCTCAACCCTCAACCCTAAACCCTAAACCCCCTAAACCCTTCTGAAGCTTCCAAGCCGCATGATCAGGCCTGGAGAAGCTCCACGAAGTCGTCGCGCAGCTCTCCAACCGCTGTCGGCAGGCCCCCTAACAGACCGCCCAGAGGCCTTGAAACCCTAAACTCTAAAACCTGAAATTAAGGAATGTACCTTAAATCATATATAGGGTTCCTATTACGTATACTTTAAGTGAGATTCCTTGATTAAGGGGGTCTTGGAGGTTTTGTGAGGGCGTAGCTCAGGGTTTAGGTTTAGAGTTTTTACCAGGCTTTCATAGAAGCTAAATCCGGGAACCTCTCAACAAAAGCATAGCACTGAACTAAGCATACGAACCCAGCGGCGCAACCCAAAAGCCTGCAACAAGAAGATGGTCAGGGACCCATATGTTCCACTCCGGTGCTCCGTTCCGGTTCCGTTCCGAATGCGTTGCTGTTAGACCCGGAACACCCACGCTTTTGGACGTTGGGAGCTAGTACGTACATGGGTCATCAAAGTAGCCGCTCATTGGGGCCGCCCGGTTCTCAATTTTCCTTCCGTCACTGCTGCACAGAAGCCTGGAGCCCAGGGAGAAATGGAGCCCAGGGAGAAATGGTCTTATGTGGGAAACGAACCTGGTTACAATCAAGCAAGAACGGACGCTGAATATCCACAACGTTTTTTTTCAGAGTATTGTTTTTGTCCTGTTGTTGCAATTGAAAGCCTTCCTAACTTTTTTTTGTTGAGGGCTGAGGCCCTTGGAGGACACAGGCGAGCCGCCCCGTGAACCGAGTCCCTAACTTTTCCCGGGAGGTTCCCCTCTGAGAGAGTCCACCCGAACCCAACCCCCATCCCGCCCCCCTTTAAGGTTTAGGGTTTAGGGTTGAGGGTTTAAAATCAAGAACAGAAAGAGTAGATTAGTAAATGTAACTTTAGTTGGCCCACTGATGACCCCAAACCCGAGACCCAAACAACGCCAGTGGTAGCCTATGCCCTGACAACGCCAAGGCTAAAGAGGACTAGGGTTTACGCTTTCAAGAGCAGCTGTCTGCATCCCCCCACCCACCCTAAATCCTAAACCCGAAACCCTAAACCCTAAACCCCCCCCCCCACCCACCCCACCCCTGAAAGTGATAGGTAATTTGGCGATGCTCGCCATCCTCAAACCAGGAAGCACCCTCAATCTCAACCTTTCTTCGAGGTGGACGATGGGACGCAGTACTTCTACATTGGAGATTCTGAGGCGGGTCAGTCTCTGTTCATGCTTGTGTGCGCGTCTGTCTGTCTGTCTGTCTGTCTGTCTGTCCGTCCGTCCGTCTGTCTGTGTGTGTGTGTGTGTTGCTTGTGTTCAGAAAGTTTATGTCTCCAACCGTATTTTCCAAGGGGCTTTAGGTTGCAGGCTCTAGCGCAGTTTGGCAGAAAATGAGTTCCAAAATGAGTTCCCCCCCCTCCCCCGGGCAGCGGCCCTCCACCCTAAACCCTAAACCCTAAACCCCTAAGCCCTAAACCCTAAACCCTAAACGGCCCTAAACCCCCCTAAAATCCTAAACCCTAAACCGTAAACCCTAAACCCTAAACCTAAACCCCATTGCCTCAGGTTGAGACCCAGACATTGTCTCCTTCGAGTACTGCCGGCCGCGTTGACGCACAGCTCATGGTCAGCCGCCCTAAACCCTCACGGTATCTGTTCCCTATATGATTCCCTTTTTTTAGGGCTCAGGCTCCCGCAGAAGCCCCTTTTAAGCCAAGAAGGGCACGGTTCGTATTCCTTTCGGTCTCTTGGGTCTCCCTATAAACCTTAATCCCTAAACCCTAAATCCTAAACCCTAAACCCTAAACCCACCCTTAAACCGATCATCATGCTCAGAACTTGCACAGAACTCTCTCCAACGAGCCACTAGGAGCTGCTACTTGCAGGATCATGGGACTTCGTAAGTAGGGCTATAAGTACCCTAATTGGAGTTACAAGTAATTGTAACTAAAGTTGCCCGAATTTGTTTAACCCTACTTACTAGGTCCCCTGAGCCTTCAAGTAGAGACCAGCTTAGGTCAGATCACCCCCGCGCAGAGCAAGAGCAAGTTGATCCCTCAGGCTTGCAAGGGGTTTAGGGTTTAGGGTTCAGGGTTTCGGGTTTAATGTTAACGTCGCTTTAATAAACCCCCCCCCCCCCAAATCTTGTTTTGGTCCCCGGGGTTTGGACGGGTCAAAAAAAAGAGAGGGTGTCAATAATGAGGATTCTGGGGTCTGGGGTCTGCGGCCTGGGGGTCTAAAGGTTTTAAGTAAGGAAACCTGGCTTTGAGATCTCTGGCGGCTTCCTGAATTCCAGGACCCGAAGGCTGAAGTCTTAAGCTTCAGGGATTCTTGCCTTGAGACTTGGACCAGGACCCGAAGCCTGAAGTCTTGAGCTTAAGGGTTCTTGTCTTGAGACTTAAAGGCAGCCATTTAAACTTGAGGCTTCCTTGGTTCCCCCCCCCCTCGCCGAAATTATTATTGCCACCCATTTACTATTGTCATTTTGGAGGCCCATAAGGGGTACCCTTTCCGGACTTGTTTTCGAGCCCCGGCGGATAAGGATTTTAGTAAAGAAACCTTGCTTTCAGACCTCTGGCGGTTTCCTGAATTCCAAGACAGCAGTTTCTCGCAGCTCTGGAGCTGCAGCAATCTCAAGAGGCACCTGCTTCTCTGAAGAAACAGGCCTGAAGCAGCAGTTTCTCGCAGCTCTGGAGCTGCAGCAATCTCAAGAGGCACCTGCTTCTCTGAAGAAACAGGCCTGAAGCAGCAGCTTCTCGCAGCTCTGGAGCTGCAGCAATCTCAAGAGGCACCTGCTTCTCTGAAGAAACAGGCCTGAAGCAGCAGTTTCTCGCAGCTCTGGAGCTGCAGCAATCTCACAAGACAAGCAATCTCAAACGAGATCTGCTTCTCTAGAGCCTCGGAGCTCGAAAAGTCTTCTCTGCAAGTAAAATTTCTGATTCCTGGCCGGCCAAATATTACTGTTGTCACCCCATTATTATTTTCACCGGACCCCCTATATAGACTTGTTTACACACATCGGCCCGAAAACCTCCCGTAATGGAAAGTAGTCTTCGGCTGAGCCCCTCTGGCCCGGCGAATATTACAGTTGCCACCCCATTTATAGATGTGAGGTTAACATTAGGGTTTAGGGTTTAGGGTTTAGGGATTAGGGCTAGGGTTTAGGGTTAGTGCTTGGGGCTTTATAGGGTCGAGGTTCGACTCAGGACTCCCCCTTATCGGGAAGTGTGTGGTGGCCTATGTCATTCATGTAGAAGGCTATGTACAAGGAAAATCGACTTAAAACTGTGGGTTTCAGAAGCCTTTTAGGCCTTAGCCCAAAAACCCTCAACCCCTAAGCCCGAAGCCCTAAACCATACCCCAAGGAGCCCCGAAACCAGGACTTTATACCTGGTTCCTGGATTCCATGGAAGCCCCAGTGTGGTTGCCTCTAGGTCCTTTTTGGCATCGGGGTTACCCTACTCCCTAAACCCTTACCCCCCCCCAGCCCTCAAAAACAGGAGAGGTTCAACCCAAGGTAGCCTCAGT